GCGGGGGTACAAAAGCCGGCGGCATCGTTGGGAGGGCGGGGGAAAAGGGGGGGAAGGCTTCCCGGATACCAAGCGGCGGGGCTACCAGCCAGCGCTGGCTTGGCAGTGAGCAGGCGCGTACGGATAAAATAAAAAAATAAATTATATCAATTGATAATATATTTTAATTTATATTGTAATTATATTAAATAATAATAAAAACATAAAATTAAATAAATTGACGGCTGATCGTTTCCAAAATAGAGCTCTCGTCTTGGCGCCGCGGGCATGCGTCGCAAAATTTTGCGAAAACTACACGGATGGCTGGCGGCTGGTTTTTCAAAATGGTGCTCACACATTTAGAAGAGATAAATTGTCAACATCTATGAAAATGCACTGGTTTGATCAGCCAAGAACCTGCAACGTGACATTTCTGCGCGCGCATATGTTTCATCAATGTCATGCCCACGTGGCGCCTCTCAGGCCAATGGGGCGCCCCTCTTTCGAGGGCGCGGGTCCAGGTGCGAAGGGAACACGCGCATGGACTTATGAAGAAGAGACATGGGACGGGAGGGTGTATAGCAGCATCGTTGATGCATCCTGGGTTTTTCCTGGTCCTCCTTCTCCTCTTCCTCCTCTTCCTCCCCCTCCTCCTCACCACCCATCAGCGGCGTGGTGGGAGAGCGGGAGTGGTTTCCTTCCCCTCCCCCTCCTCCTCCCCCGTTCTCCTCCTCCTCCTCCTCCTCCTCCTCCTCTACTCATCCTCCCCCTCCTCCTCCTCCTGCTCCTCCTCCTCCTCCTCCTCCTCCTCCTCCTCCTCCTCCTCCTACTCCGCCTTCTCCTCCCCATCATCGCCCTCGCCCTCATCCTGCGACGCTCGATTGTGCTTTTTCCTTCGCGAGGCAGCGCCCCAAACAAGCCGAGGCAACAGCGAAGCGGCGGTGCCCGAGACAAGCGGCCTCGAACATAATGGGACCAGGGGAAACGTCTTCTAGGCGGACCGAAAGGACCTTCTCTGTAGCTGGGAGCCTTGCAGTCCCGCGGCGCACTTCAATTTCAGAGTGCGCGCCACCATAAGAAAAACGCACTGGGGGAACGCAGCGCCAGCATGCAAACTCCCCCCCGCCACGCCACGCTCATCTTCGACCCGGCCGCCTCGACCGCGCGGGCGAACAGAGGCCCCAGTCAAGCGCCATCACGAACTATGCAGGCCCGCAGCCTGTAGCAGCTGCCGCGCGAAAACATTCCGTGCACGTCGGCCCTGTCCAATCGGCGGGGTTTAGCATCCTGGCCAAAGAAGTGGCCGCACCCGGCCGAAACAGAGTTCCGCATAACTGCCTGGTGCACGGTCTTGCTGCGGACATTGACCCACACGTAAGTGCTTTGTAGCTCCTGCTTCCGCATGGACGGTGCGGAATCGCGGGGCGCTCCTGCGGGCGCGTCGCTGCGGCCCCCCTCTTCTTCCTGGGCTGGTTCAGGCGGCGGCGGCTCAGGAACCTCGCATGGGATCCGGACCTTTTTCCGCCTCTTCTGCTGGCTCGCATGTTCCGGGAGGTTGCACTCGCACTCCCCTGCATATACGCTGCCGCGAGCTGGGGCCCCCCGTCGGCCGATGAACTCGGCCTGCTGCTGCGATCGGCCGGCGTGGCTTGGGCGGAACGGTGCGCCTTGATAGCGTGGTAGCAGGACTGCCTCCTGTTGTGGTCTCGCGCGAAAATCAAGAGCAGCAGCTCCCCGTGCACCGGGCGCGCGCCAGACAAGACGACCTGCTCGGCGACGTGGAACAATTGTTCCGCCGCCTCTGTGTCCACGCCCGCGAGCGAAGGGTAGTCATTGGCGTCGACGCCTGGGGCGAAGTGCGGGCTCGCCTTGTCGCGGCAGCTCCAGTGATTAGTGAAATGCAATCGGTCGATAATCCACTGTAAGCCCAGTAACCACCTCCAGCCAGGCGCGTCGGGATCACTCGGGGGGCTCTCGCGCTGCTGCTTCCGAAGGTGCCGCGCAACCGCGCAGGCGTCGTCGTGGATCACGTGCGCCAGGTCGAGGAAGAGCTCTCCCGGATGGCCAACAAGAACAACAGGAGTTGAGAGATGCTTTCAGATGCCCACATCGGCGCAATAGCCGCAATCTGCAGACACGGCGCCACGGCCACAAAGATGCCCGCGGATTTGCGGCCAACCAGCAGCTCGTCGACATCCTCCCTAACATCCTTGTTGCACTCGTCCTGCAGTTTCGTTTGTCTCGGCCGCCTGAGCAGCCGCATCTCGCGCTGCCGGACGTCGTCCGTGCCCGCGGCCTCCCGTTGCAACCGCTTCCCCTGCGCCTTGTATTCCAGGGGCGCCCCATCTCGTCGAACAAGTGTCCGGTGTTCCACCGCGCGTCCCTCCTGGGGTTGCTGAGGCCGTCGTCGGTGCCCGCGAGCATATTCATGTTTCTTGCAGTAAAGACTGCCAGAAGCCGGCCGCTCCACGCATCGCTTGAAGTACCCCTCCCTGAGCTCCGCGGAGAACTCGGGATTGCAGTCGCGGGCGCTGCATATGCCGGTCTGAACGCACCACTTGCCGTGAACGATGAGTGCCCGCGCGCGGCGGAACAGCCGGCAAGCGTGAGAGGCTGACGATATAGAGAAAGCCTTCTTCGCCTGGCAGAGCAACGATGCGAAGTCGGAGCCTTGGTGGCGCGGCCGCAAGCGTCGCGTAAAAGTGCGCGCGTCCAGCCCGCTCTCTGCAAACATCAATATGAAGGGAATGCGAGCACGTTGAACATTTGCAGCAAGTGCGCCCTGTGCCAGCACATTGTGTCGCGCAAAGACGCTGGCCACACGGCTTGGTAGATCACCGCAAACGCGGTGAAGCTCACTCCGCCTCGAGCCAGGAAGCCGAGCAGGTAGGACAGCAGGCCGACCTCTATCACGACCTGGGGCGTCGCAAAGAACCACCGGTTTTGCTCGCAGCTGCTAGATGCAAGAACTGGAGCGTGAAAGCCACGCGGGAATAGGGGGTTCTCTGGGACTGCTGGCCACTTCCAGTTGCCGGCAAAAAACAGCCCCGCACACCGCGCATCGGAGGCGCGCCGCATTCCCCTGGCGAGCCCCGCGCGACAGGATAATACATAGCGCTGGCTCAATTTTTCAACGGCCCAAACGTTTCTGGCAGCACTTGGCGACGCCGACGGGCACCCACTCCTGGGGGCAGCGGGCCAAGCTGGAAGGCTGAGAAAAGGGCTTTTGAATGGCGGTCGCCGTCGCAAAATTACCCCGGTTCTCCGTGATCCAGTTGGGGCGCCGAGCCAGGAGTCTGGTCAAGACAGGCCGAACATGCACAGCGTCGCATAGCTCGACTGGGGCAACGCCAGCACGAAGCAGCAACGCGGCCACGCGCGCACCCCTTCCAATAATGTCGCTCACATGATAACCCGATCAGAACCAGCCCAAGCAATGGCCGGGAAACGGCGCCATGGTCTTATCCAGTTCACTCATGGCGCCCTCTGGGCGCATGGGTGCATCATCGGCCATGCCCAGTGAATTAAAGCTTGTCGTGCGGTTGCAGACAGCGACAAGGCGCTAGAACCGCGGCTCCGGCACGGTGCCGGAGAACATCTGCAGGAGCCAAATGTGCACGGACAGATGCGATCTATAGCGCGCGGTCCATAATGATGAGAATCCCACGCGCCCTCGGGGCGAAGGTGGTCTTATGCGCTTCCCCATCCCGCCCCTTCTTCCGGGTTGGGGGAACGCTTCGCCCTTTCTCCTACCCTTTTCACTGGGAGTCTGGGCGGGGAGGGGGCGGGGGGCGTTCGCGGCGTCCAAGAGGGCCCGAGATAGACCAAGATGGCCCCCAATATGGCTCAATATATCTCAGGGCCTCCCAAGGGCGCAATCGAGAAGCGAATATCCTTCCCACATCCTTGCATTCTCGACCGCTCGCTTCCAGCGGCCTTCAAACGCCTCGCGAAAACGCCGCCAAGGTCTGAGGGGGCCAGGAAAATTCCCCAGAAAAGCTCCAACGCCGCCCAAGAGATCCAAGAGCGGTCCAAGGGCGCCCCCAACAAACACCTAAGAGGCGACTTGTGCGGCGCAATGTGGCAGCCCTAATCATCACACCCTCTTCTTTCATCGATGTCCTCCTCAAGATGGCCCCCAGGGGCCCCGAGAGAGTCCAAGGGCATCCCCGAGAGAGCGCGAGGATGGCTTGAAGAGGGCTCTAGTTTGCCCAAGTCGGCCTCGGACCCTGATCGACGCCCTCGGCTCCTAGAAGGCGCCCCGAGGCCTCCCAGCCCCCAAGGACCTCAAGAAACACAAGAGGGTTCCAAGATGGCTGAAAGATTGGGCGCCACTTGGTGGTCTGTTAGAAACGCTGGCACGTAGAAATTTCAGGAGACAACTGCAAAGGCAAACGCGAGAGCTAGCGATGGAGACGACGGCAGATTTTGTTTAGTCCTCCCGCGGCCTCCATCGCACAAGCGAAACGAATATAGGCAACGCAACGCCAGGAGGTGTTTGGAGGCGGGGAAGCTGCCTGTTCGCGCGTGTGCCTGTGGTGCCGGTTGGCGCGTGGTGCCGCGTGGCATGTTGTTGTTGTTGGAAGAAGGGGGGCTGCGCTCCGAGGCCTCCATCTGGACGCAACAGGGCGCAGCGCGCTTAAAACAACCTCGCATGAAACGCGGCAGGGCCGAGCATCTCGCACAGCGCTCAACCGAAATTATTGGCCGACAGCGGGGCATCCGGAGACGGCACCTCGCGGCCAGGGATGAGCTTGGAGTGCTCGACCTCGATGCTCGAAGACCTGGAGGCGGTGCCGCCGCTTCTCGGTGGCACGGGCGCCTCGTGGTCGCTGCAGGCGCCTCGATGGCTGGCGGGGCTGCAGCAGAGGCAAGCGGAGAGCTGGCGGCGACGCCGGGCGGGGGCGCTCCTGGCCCCCCGCCCGCATCAGCGGCAGCAGCAGCAACGGCCGCTATTGGCGCGGCCGCGGCATCACCGGAAGCGACGGCATCGGGGGCGAGAGCAGCCGGCAAGCCAAAGCCTAGAAAATTCATGACCACGTTGCGATCGGAAAGAACGACGGCGCCCCACTGTGCGTCGGGCGCCCGGGCTGGCTTTTCCACGGGGGTAGCATTGCGCTCCGAGATGTCCTGGAAGGATGGCGTAGATGCGTCGTGGATGTCCAGGTAATCCAATACTTCGTGGCAATCAGCGTTCACGGGTTTGGAGGCGAACCGCCAGTTTGGGTCGCCGCCCCCGTGGATCTTCGCGGCGCGCGCGAGAACGCCCAGGCCGAGCGCCGCCGGCAATCGCGCCGCCAAGCAAGCCACGTACATGACAAGGTTCTTCTCGATCGCGGCGGCACCCATCGCGCGCCCGAGGGCGCGGGAGGTTGAGGTCGAAGACTTATACTTGAACCACTGGTCAGTGGCCAGTGTGATCTTCATCGTGCCCACGAGGGCGCATGCGTCGATTCCAAGGCACACATGCTCCGTGGAACGAAGAAAGTCAAAGAGCGGCGGAATTGGGAGGGCAATGAGGAAGTCCAAGTCGGGGTCCTTCCACGAGCGGACGCGGAGCGACTCGAGGAACGAGAGCAGCTGTTCGCGCGAGGGCACCGGCGGGGGGCCCATCTCGTCCTGAGTTGATTCCGGCGGCGGGGCCTCGCGCGGAAGGACGTGGCCAGCGCGGGCGAAGTCCAGGAACTCCCGCGTCTCCTCGAAGTGGGCGCACAGGAAGTACGCCATCTCGACCACGTTATTGGGGATGGTCGCGGACGGGTTCACGTCGTGGCCCCAAGCGCCTTCCATGCTGAATCCGCGAGCGACGCGAGCTGCCTTGAAGGCGACGCAGTAGGTGTTGAGAAGATGCAGTGATATGACCAAGCGGTCGAATTTGGCGCGCAGCTTGCCGTGCTTTAGGGACGTCTCCTGCTGGTGCGGCTGGAGGAAGGACTCCTTCTGGAGCGACATGCGCGAATCAAACTTCTCATCGACGGTCCGGGCCGCGCCTGGTTTGCCTTGTAGGCAGCGCCGCCGCGCTTGAGAGAATTCTGGAGGACCGGGCACAGCAAGGCCGCCAAGTAGTCCTCCGGAGTGTGCGAGGGGACTGGCAGCCTGGCGCAGGCGCCCCTGATCTGGGCAATGGTGCGCCATGTCGGCCGTGGGAAGGCGACAGTAAGACGCTGCCGCGAGCCCATCTTGTCGGTCAGCATCGCCTTGAAAATCTCGGGGCAATGGCCGGCTGTCGCAATTGACAGCCACGGGCGCAGGATACAGAATGCGCGGGCCTTGTCCATGACGCCCCTGTTCCAAACCCTGCCGTCCCAGCGCTTTGCCAGCGCGCCGGCGTCCACGCTGTTCTCGTTGGAGAACCACTGCGCGATAGTGTCGACCTCGGGCTCTGCCACGACAGCGGCGCCGCGATCGATGTCCTTAGACATCTACACTCCCGTGGCGCCTAAGCTCCCGCCGCCAGCGATGATGTCGCGGCGGGCCGGTTCTTCGTATTCAGTCTCGTCGGTCTCTGCATCCCGCTTGGCAAGAACCGCGCGTTCTTTGAAGTCGCGCAAGCGCACCTTCATCAACGCGGAAGAAATGCAACCCACCACGCCTGAAGAATTTGTGGACCCGGGGTGCAAGAGGCAGGCCCAGATGACGGAGCCTACAGTCACTTACGGCGCAATTTCGAAAGTGTCTTCGGGTGCCAAAAATCCAGAGGCAACCAAGACGGCGAGCAGGACTGCTGGCCACCCGACGCACAAGGCATCTGCGAGGGGTTCAATCGCCTCCATCAGGGCGGGCATGAAGACGCGAGCCTTCGCGACATCCGCTTCGGGGCACGGGCACGCGCGAAACGCGCGGAGCACCTCCTCGTCATTCAACTGTTTGGCCTCCTGGGACGGCATGGCGCAGAAAAATAACAGAAGGCACCGACTGGGTCAGCCAGAATAGCGACTTTGTTGCTGGACGGCTGCGAATTAAACATGTCACAGGAGGGGTTCCAGAGGTGCAGGACCCCTTGGGGTAGGACCACAATTCGGACGAACGGCTCGGGTGGGCGATCGATTAAGGCCAAAACTCAGACGGGCTGGTCGTGTCGACCGGGCGGCGCATCAAAGTGCGGGACACCTGCACCGACACCATTCTACAAATAGGGCGGCGATTCGAGTCGGGTGGGTGGGACATTCAAGCGTGAGTTCCACCGGCAAAACGATAAGTCGATCGAGCGGGTCGGGCCGGGAGGGCGGAACTCTAAAAACCGCGATTCGATAAAAAACAACAACAACATTTTCGGGGGCGGTGGAATTGAGCGGGCGGGGACAAGTGTGGGGCCACATAATCACTATTGAGGCAGGCTGGTCGGTTCGGGTGGGACATTCGGATGTAGGGCTTCGTCGAATAAAGTCACTACTCGATCGACTGGGTCGGGCCGGGCGGGGCATTAAGATGTAGAGCCCCATTGAACAGGACGACCTTTCGGGCGGGCGGGCCGGGCCGGACGGAGCATTATCTGCGGGACCCCTTGGCGTATGACCGCTGTTCCGACGGGCTGGTCGGGTCTGGCGGGCTGGGCACGACAGTGCGAACCCCATCGAGTAAGACCGAAGACCATCACTTGGACGGGCTGGTCGTGTCGGCCGGGGGGGCACGTGCGGGATCCCATGGAGTATGACCGCTACTCGGACGGGCGGATCCGGTCGGGCGGGCGGGACACCACAATGTGAAGCCCCATCGAACAAGATCAAGGACAATTATTCGGACGGGCTGGTAGGGACAGCTGAGGGGAGAACGTAGTTGCAAGACACGAACGGTTGGGTTGGGTCGGGCGGGCGGGACACTGAAATACGTCACTCTCCCCTTTACCCCCACCGTTCCTTGCTGCTCCTGCTCCTGCTCCTGCTCCTGTTCCTGCTCCTGCTCCTGCTCCTCCTCCTCTTGCCCCTGCGAGAGGTTTAAGCGGGATGTGCAGGAATGAGTTCAAGCGACCAGGCGCTCGAACTCGGTGGAATCTGCTCTGTACCCTGCAATGTTAAGCACCCCAGAAGCTCCTTTTCCAATCCCTCGAGGTACGACTGCCCCCCGCACAGACTGACGGATTTCATCGCCCGTCAGCGCCAGGCCATGTCCCAGCAGGAGGACGTCAGGCCATAGGGTGGACGAACCTCCGCCCCCAACCACGTGCTGATCCTCCTCCTCCTCCTCCTCCTCCTCCTCCTCCTCCTCCTCCTCCTCCTCCTTCTCCTCCTCCTCCTCCTCCTCCTCCTCCTCCTCCTCCTCCTGCTCCCCGGGGGGCGATTTTCGCCCCGGATCCTTCGACAAGATGGACCTGGGGGCCGAAAGCGGGCCCTTGAGGCCGACACCTCGAGGATAAGCGGCCGGACCGAAGCAAACATCCAAAATCCAATCGCCGGAGATCTGCGCGTGCGACGCCTGTGCCTCAGGGTCTGCACTGGGTGCTACAGCAGCCCGACATGTGCGCGAAGGGAGGCCCGAGCGCGTGCAGCTGGCAGCCGCTGGTGCAGGATTACTCCTCGCCACGGCAAACACAAGACAGGGGCGTTCCTCAGCGGAGCTGGGTCGGGGGTAGCTTCGGAGGGCGCAAGCGTACCCCGAGGCGAAGCCGAGGCCGTGACAAAATCGGACTCGGACGGATCGGTGGCCTCTGAGATCCTGTGGCCCTTCTGATTGTTCCTGGCCCCCTAGTGGCCAGGAAGAGGCCCAGGACAGAACAATTAGAAATGAAGGATCTTGGCCCCCCCAAAAAAATCAAAGAACTCTCGGCAAATCAGAAAGGAACCATGTGTAGGGCGCCGCGGCCGCTCCAGAGCACCCTGGAGCGCTCTGAGGGCGTCCTGGAAGGCTCCGAGGCAATGGATTCCGGTCCTGGGCCCGCCCGATGCCCCCAGGGCGACGCAGGGCTGAACCGAAACGGTGTTTGTCGTTTTCGTTTTGTTTTCGTTTCCCCTCGTTTTGTCTTCAATCCACCACTACCGCAAAACGGAGTCGAAACGAAGACGGCCCACGAGATCGCCAAGACACCGCTCAGGTCCAGCCCTGGGAGGCCGTGCAACGCGACTGGAGCATCAGGACGCGCGGTGAGGATGCAAGAGGGCCCTCGGACGCCCAAGTAGAAGCCGAGGGCGGAGGTCCCTGGCTCACGGCTCTAAGGGCCAGGGTGGACCGAGAGGCCAGGATGCAGGGGTGCCTGTGGAGTGGTGAGCGTTTTCTCGTTCGGCGTTTCGTCAATTGGCGGACGGGGGCGGAGGAGGGGATGGGGGGGCTCCGGATCTCCAAACAGGCGCCAAAAACAGCCAAGATCTACTCGCTGGGGAAGGAGAGTGGGGGTGCGAGGGCCTGCGCCGATCGGCAAAACAATGAGCAAGAAAACGACGACGTGCTACTCATCCTTCTGATCCTCTTTGGCTGCGTCCCCAAAAGAAGCTTCGAAGAGGCTACCGCTCTCCAAGCCGCGGCGCGCGCAGAGGCCTGCCCCCCCCCCCCCCCGAGGAGCCCCTCTCCGGGGCACGCTTGCTCCTGGGGTACGCCTGGGCGCCCCGTGAGGGGGCAGCGGTGCCAGCGGGCACGGCAACTGCGTGCGATGCGCGAGCAGGCGCGACAAGTGTTGTTAATTACAAAGGCGCGTTCACTGGGGAAGCTGGGCGGAAACCTGGCAAGTCACTCGCCCCGCTCAAACTGTAACATGTTAGCTGAGAATCTCCTCGGCCCCACGAGCCGTGGCCCCCAGAATCCCCTCCCCCTCCTCCTGCCCTGCTCATCCTGCTCCCTCCTCGTCCCCCCCCCTCCTCCTCCACCTTCTCTCCTCCGAGCTTCTTGCTTTGACATTGATCTGTCCTTGGCAGGACATTAATATGTCCCCGGCAGCCTTGCACAGTAATGACAACTTGCGTAACTGACAGCATATAGGACTGTGCAACAATAGTCGACCGGAACCGCGGCCATGCCGGGCGCAGGTTTTGGTCTGAAGAGCCTCGGGCAGGTACACACAGTATCATTACAGGCACAGCCACATTCCTCCCCTGGAAGCCGCCCCAATTGGGCACGAGAACACATATTGGACTGGTGCATCGGGTTCGAAACTAATACGAAACCAGGACGAGGATAAATTCGGGTGAATATACATCGGGAATCTCTGAGATCCGGCGGTTCTAAGGAATGTATCGGGAGCCGCGGCCGTCTCAGAGCGTTCCAGAACGCTCGTCCTACCCCCGGCCGACGGATCAATCCGCATCGCCGACGTATCTGGCGATGCGGCGAGACCCTCCGACCCCCTCTGCTTTCGGATCCCGCGCAGGGGGCTTGGGCGATCCTCCTCCGTGCTCCCCCTTGCATACGGCAGACTAGAACGACCACACTCCGATCGTTGCTGCCTTGGGAATGGGCTTCAGTATACTGCCAGTTTTTTTCCAATCGTTCTGCCACCTCCTCCTCTAACGCGGGGTAGGGCGACCCTGAATCCCCGACTTTGTGAGGTTTCCGACTGGACCACCAATCTTGGATTCAAATCGGAGGTGAGTCCATCCTCGATCAGGGTGCGTCTGGCTAGCCCCCTGCTGGGGGGGCATCCCCGAATGTAATTTTTCTGAATAGCCAGCTTTCTGTGGGAGCTGGCGGATTGGGGGCGAGAATTGGCAAGCCCGAGATGGGCATAACAAACAAATTGGTGCCTTGCCAAAAGCAGCTGCTATCCAAAACCGACAGCGGCCGTTGTTGGCTAGGTGACCTCTTGTCTCAAAGGACATCGTCCGCGGCAACGCCGACAACAATACCAGTTCGAAATGGCGGGTCTCCGAAACCCTTGACACCCCAAAAATGACAAGTCTTTGGGGTGCAATTTTTGCGTCCGCCAACTTCCGCCGGTCTTCCGCCACCGGAAGCTCCCTTGCCCCGCCGGCGTCCGCAGGCCTTCCGCCGAGAGGCTGCCGAGAGGCCCTTCCGAAGCATCCCCGAGAGGTCTCCCCAACAACCTCATGAGGCTTCCAATAAGCCTCTTCTCCAGGATCCAGGCGCAGCGGGGGGTGGGGAGGCCTTCCACTAAGTACTTGTCATTTCTCGCGAGTGGAAAAGGGGAAGGAGCCGGTGAGCACAAGCGGAAAAGGCAGCAGACTCATATTCGGACCACAAGGCGGGCCGACAATGGAACGCGGACAAGGCAAGGAACCGCGGCCGCGGTCGTCGCCCCTAGCGTCCCTCACTCCACCCCCCGCTCCTCCCCTTCCTTGTCCTGCTCCTCCTCCTCCTCGTCCTCCTCCTCCTCCTCCTCCTCCTCCTCCTCCTCCTCCTCCTCCTCCTCTTCCTCCTCCTCCTCCTCCTCCGCTTCCTTCTCCTGCTCCTGTTCCGAGCCGTGCGCCTCCACTCACGTCCACCCCTCCTC